CTAAAATCCACAACCACATTGTGAGGCGGCACTTGAGTAATGAGGGTATTGCACTGCCAAAAGCTGTATGGTTTGTCATTTGTAACTGTAATAATGTCCTTTGCCAAGTTCCTGAAATTAACTGGAAAAAATATACATTAGAAAACAAAGTGTACAGAACATAAAATATTAGACTAATAGTAATATAATACACAGACACATAACAGAGTATATATAAGCACATTATATAAACCATAAACACATAAATATGTACAGTATATGTATATAAATATATAAATTATGATTTATATATATATATATATATATATATATATATATATATATATATATACAAACACACACATATACAAATATATGTAATTAAAAAAAACAGTATTTACAATGAATAAAGACAAAGAGACAGAATTTTGTTTGGAAGGTTGCCAATGAGGATTATCATCAAGATGGAGTGGGGTTACCTGTGTTAGAGTACCTTCGAATAAATATATCTCAGGGGCTATGCATAAACACTATATAGGTTCATCTCTATATAAACAAGAAAGGATTTCTGATGCAAGGAATCGAGATGGAACACTTATTACTTACATTCCCTATTTTGTCATAGGGTGGCTTCAAACAGGTTATCTGGTTGTTGCCATGGGGAGTTTTAGTGTGTGCGCGCATGTGCGTGGGTACACTTATACACATACATATACATATAAATACACAAATATGCACACACACACACATATATATAGGTATACATATTATATATGTGTGTATGTGTGTGTGTGTGTGTGTGTGTGTGAAGAGAGAGAGAGAGAGAGAGAGAGAGAGAGAGAGAGAGAGAGAGAGAGAGAGAGAGAGAGAGAGAGAGAAGAGAAAGGAGGATGGGAAGAGAGAGAGATTTACCTTGGAAATTTATCTTAACATCATTTTTCTCTTGCACTAAATAGGTTCTGGGTAGATCAGGGTCTGTCTCAATCCTCTCCATAATGGAAGTGCCCAGATCTAGAAGATATTTCCTGGAAACAAAAATATGCTTATATAAAAAGATTGAGTTATTGAATCATCCATTTTGATAAAATAACACAGCCCTAGAGTACTATATATAATACCAAAGGGGAAAGGTCAAAATATGATAAAAACTCCTTGTATTCTATAGATACATACTCATACATACATTTACAGACAGACAGACAGATACACACACACACACACACACACACACACACACACACACACACACACACACACACACACACACACACACATACACAATGGGTAAACTGTAATTCAGTGGTTTAATCAGTACATGGAAAGTGTCACATAATCACAATTATACTATCATTTATAATTTGAAAAATAACATTTAGTTGAGGCCTATAACTTAAAGCATTCATTCCTATAACACATTACCATCATGTGAACATCATCTGTACCAAACTCCTGACCTCAGGAGATCTGATAATGAAAACTTTAGAAAGTGCATGGTTTGAATGATGGTGAGAGGGAAGAGAGAGAAACAGATACCATTGCCCAAACATTTTTTTTTTTTTTTTTATACTTCCAAAGCTAGATTTTATGTAATATCAAAGAGTATCTCTGTAAGCTGAATGGTAGGCTAGCAAAAACACAATAGAACAAACTATGGCTGTAGCTCCTCCATAAGGGTAGAAAATAGCCATCACCCAATCAGCCTATCCCTACCTTGCCCCATTCCTCTGTGGCCTTCCCTTCAATCTGGAATGGAAAAGTGGGAACCTCAGTGCAACACAGGAAAACAGAGATGTGGTGGGTAAGATAGCCTTTGTTAAACTACAAAGTGCAGGAAAGCGAGGAGCAAGGTGTAGCTAAGGGCCTTGTATCAAATTGACATCACCAAGCAAATTTCCTTTGCCAGGTAGGAAGGGAGGCAGCCTTGAGCCGCATACAACATCTCATTCCCCAAAGGTAAAGAGCAAATATAGGTCATGGGGGCAAATATAGGTCATAGCATTCACAAAATTTTCAGGTCCCATAGTGCAGCTTCTCTACACATTGCAGGAGACAATACCCTAATGTGGGATACCACGGATTGAGGCATCAGCCAGGCTAAAAGAGGTGGAGGAAGGTGAGTGTATGTGAGCAGTTGGCTGAGAGACCCCAGGTCGCTGTTGACAGGACAACCAGAAATAGGGCTCAGTGGAAGGTGACGTCCACAACCCTGAGAGAGGAATGGAAATCTAGGGATGAGAACTTCCTTGTTTCGAATCACTGCTATAGAGAGAGAGAGATCACTCCATTATCAGTCTGATCCCACAGGCAGGCCAATTCTTCTGTTAAAAAAAATCCTCTAAAGATAAAGCAGTCAGCCTCCTGTCATATCTGCAACACGCCAGGTCACACCTACAGTAAGAATATGTGTCTGATCCTGAAAATTACCATCCTCTATCTCTTTTGTTTGTTTTGCCATCAGGATCGAATACTAGAGAGAGGTTGGCATGTTACCACTGTACTAGCCCGAAGGCTCTGAGGAAGCAGAATAGGTAATCAAGGCAAAAAAATGTGGGATTCTGTAACGAAGTCTGACAAGTTGGAAAGTTTCCATTAGCCAAAGGCACACCACTTCAGCATAGCTTCTAGACTATTGTATTGTTGTTCATTTACTTGTGTGCAGAGTCAAGCCATACATCTTAAACTACATTGCTGATCATCAAGACCCCATATATTGAGACATCAACAGCCATTTACAGTTTGGTGGCAGGGTGATTGTCTTTTCAATCACCAAAATGAACAAACACTTCTGATCGCCGCTCAACCTAACAACACATCCATGATACAATGACGCTTAGGTGTTCAAAACATGTGAGTTCACATTATTTGCCCTTTCATTTCTCTTCCCTCCTTTCTTGTCTATAAATGGTTAAGCCATATAAAATATATGTGCAGTCACTCTCATTCTGGTTTTGCTGGATGGAAGGATTAAGTGTGGAAACTTTTGTGACAGGAAAAAAGCATTCTCATACTCTCACTGACGAAAAATTCTTTTATATTTAATATGAAGAATCTGACAAAACAGAGGATGACTCTTTGGAAGATGAAGAAATGGATGATGAACAGATCAGTAGTGGAGGAACAATGAATAACAACAGGAATAAGAAAGTTACACTTGAAGCAACAAAAATAATAACAGAAATAAAGATAACACCCTGCATCAGTCTACCAATGCTACACTCTGACAGGGGTTTAGTTTATTTATATATGGTACATAAAGTTAGCTACAGAAGCTCTTAGAGGAATCGGTTGTAAAAGCTTGGGTCTAAAACAAAAAACTTGCAGTAGGAAATACAAGTTAAACAATTTGGGGAATTTCTGTAGCTTTCACTGATATGTAAGCAGGAAGAAGTTCTGATAGGATGAAGGTCACTGCACTTCTTAGATGGAGCTAAAATAAAACTGTTAAGGCTGCTATGAGAAAATCTATGTAAATTAATGAGACAATGTGGTGTGTAATAAAGCTAGGAGAGTGTTAACATTTTGTGACAGTTGTGATGAGAAATTCCTTCTCTGCATCCCATCTATCAGTGAAAAACACTGTATTGAACAGTCATGCTAAAATAATTTCATCTCTCAACATTATATGAAAATAAGAGAGAGAGTGGCCTTAGAGCAGTTGAATGAAATGGGTATTAGCTTGTAGGGTTTATTAGTGAAGGAAGATGTGACTCCAATAGAACCCCAGGTCCCCAGGGTCGAGGACGAGGTGGTGGAGCTGTGTGCCTTGGTCTCTCTCTCTCTCTCTCTCTCTCTCTCTCTCTCTCTCTTTCTCCCTCTCTCTCTCTTTCCATTTGATGAAATGTGACCTTTTATGCGGCAGCGTTCATTGAGTGGCATGTATTATGAATTTGAAAGAAGGCAACTCATATGTAAGGTGTGGGTAGGTATAGCATAGTCAATTGTTAATCTGGCACTAAGAGGCACACTTACTTTCAATAGTAGTATGGAAATATTGGTGGTGCTGAGTAGAACGATAGCTCCATGGATGTGTGATGGGGGTTCATAAAGAATTGGCGAGGCAGGTGGGCCAGACTGGCGAAGGTGGTGGTAAAGTGTGGGAACATATTGTCAAGCAACTTCATCAGCACAGGTATGTATGGTCAGTATGAAGTAGTTGGGCAGACATAATGTGGGTAAGTCTAGATGAGAAGACAACCTGATAGCGGTGGCTGGACATGGAGGCGAGAAGGTACTTCAACTTGAGTTCCTTGTTGGCAGATAGCGTGGTACAGTAACAGGTATAAGTGAGGAGTGTTACTTCACAAGGTAGGAGGTGAATTAGCATTGGCATTGCAAGGTTCTTAAGCATTGCTTGCCACCAGATATCAACAAAAAAGAGTGGCCTTAGTGCAGGTGAATGATAGGGGCATCAGCTTGTAGGGTTTATAACCTAAAGTAGATGTGAAACTCCCATTAGACCCTAAGGTCCTCGAGATCGAGGAGAGGTGGTGGAGTTGGACCCTGTCTAAGGAAATGTGTCCTTTTATGTGGCAGGTCCCTTTGTGGGCAAATGCTTGTTATGTCATAGCAGTGCCAAAAGAGAATGCAGAGCAGGGCACCTGCATCTGCTCCAAAAGGAAATGTAGCTGCTGGGGACAGAGGTGTGAAATATACCCATCTGGCCTTGTTCTGTATTGTTTCCAAATGTCATTTAAGGGGACCATCTCTCTAAGTGGTGGTGGCAGGGTAAAAATGGTGGGTGAAGGGGGGTAATTTATTTGAATATTAATATAATCAAAACGGTCTTACAAAATATGTGGAAATTCCCCAAAGGGGGGGGGGAATGGCCCCCTCCAAATTTTTTTTTCCCACATACGTCTATTGCTTACCGCTGTTGGCTCACACTCTTGCATACTTTGCAATGAAAAAAAAAGTCTGCATAAACATCGTTAAAATCCAAAGAGATTGACTTGAGTTTTTTTTTTTTTTATTTGCCTTAGTTTCCCCCCCGAAATTTCCTTTCTATTTAAAATAAAATTTCGCATTTTTTCCTTTTTTCAATAATTTGCCCCCCCCCCCAAAAAAAAAAAAACAAATCTGGACCAAAATTTTTCAAAAGCTCAATCTCTGAAAAAGTTTTCAGCTGGTATTAACATTTAAATAAAATAAGAACTGTTCATGAATAACGGTATGGGAAGTCTTTTTTTTTTTTTTTTTTTTTTTTTTTTTTTTTTTTTTTTTTTTTATGGAGAAAAGATTGGAGAAGTTTCAGTTCATTTTTGGTTAATTTCCTTCAATCAGCTTTTATCATTTAATTACCATAGAAACTGTATTAATTTCTCTTTCAAATGATGCTTATTGCATGAAGATATGATGATTGGTTCTCAAGTTATAACAAATGTTAAAAAGTCACCCCTCTCAAAAGTAGATAAATTGGATTTGAGAACATGACCCAATCCAGAAACAATATTATCACGAGAATCACACTATTTATATTTATGTTTTCATACATGTACGTGTTAATAAGTTTATGCATGTCTGTATGAATGTGAATGTCCACATGTGTACATACATGTACACATAAACACAAACATGCACATGCGTACATACATGTGCACATGTGTACTAATTTGAGTACGTGTGTGTAAATGTGAGTACATGTGCGTGTAGAACTAAGTGAATCCCCTAGAGTGGTCACTAGAGGGACAAGGAGTTCTGAAGTGGACCCATAGGGTCTACCAGCATATCGCCAGTGCCACAATACTCGGCACCCCGATAAACTTTTGGTAAAGTTCTGCAGGATCCTCGAGCTAACGCTGACAAGAATGTGGTCAATCTTCTTAGCCACAGTGCCCGTATCGCTATACCATGTCCAGTAATGTGGGTTGGAGTCCTGAAATAAGGAGCCAGAAATCCTCAGTCTCTGGGACCTAACAAAGTCTTGGAGGAAACTGCTCTCCCTACTGAGATCAGCTCAAGAGCCATGGGGACTGAAAGACATCCTGTAACCAGCTTGAAGTCGCCCAGAACAGTACAATGTCTCACCTGGGACATTTGTCTGGCACAGATGTGAGTTTGGCATAGAATGCCTCTTTCTCATCAATTGAAGTATGCACAACAATAGGAGACACGAAACCAAAAGCATGCATCAGTCTCAATGCCATAATATGCTCATTGATCGGTGTTACCTCTATTACTACCTCTACCACACACCCACCCACCCACCCACCCACCCACTCACCCACCCACCCACACACACACACACACACACACACACACACACACACACACACACACGCGTGCGGGCATATACATTTATATTATATATACATATATATATATATACATACATATATACATATATATGCATATATATATATATATATATATATATATATATATATATATACACAGTAGAAATAGCCTAAGTCGGATGAAAATGAACCAGTGAATTATATCCGACTTACAGAAAATCCGTCATATGCGTAAGTCGGATAAAATCCGAAATACAGAATACGACTAACGTAGTAAGCCGCATCTACAGCGCAATCTTTAAAACCCCGTTGGTGATTTTTGGAACTAACCGACTGGCGCCGAATGCGTAGTTGCCATTGTCCAAATATTCCACAAAATTATGATTAATGAAGTCTGGCGGGACATTGATGGCGCGTGGCGGCTATCTGTCTCTGACTGCAAAGTCCCGACACTCCGGCGCTACTAATAATTAAGGTAACTTACCTTATGTCTTGAGTAGTCTGTGATCC